TGTGGCTGCTTCCGAGTCCGAGCAATTACGAATGAAGCTGCTGTGACATCCGTGTGCAGATAATTGCGTAGCCAGCCATTTTCCCCTCATCCGAGTGAGCCCCGCGGAGCACGGCTGCTGGGGTGCCTGGTGAGAGTATGTTTACTTTTGTAAGAAACTGTTCAACTGCCCCCCAAATTGGCTGCTCCATTTTCCACACCCACCCGCGATGAGTGAGAGTTCCCGTTGCTCTACAGCCCTGCCGGCATTCGGTGCTGTCAGGGCCTTGGATTTTGGCCATTCTGATGGGTGTGAGATGGCGTCTCCCGGTTATAACTTGCAATTCCCTACTGACATATGCTACGGAGTCTTCTCATGTGCTATTTGCTACTTGCATATGTTCTTTTGGGGGGTGTCTGGGAACATCTTTGGCCTATTTTTTAATTGGGCTGTCCATTTTATTTTTGAGATAATATTTTGGAGAATAGCCTTTATCAGATGTCTTTTGCAAATATTTTCTCCCAGTTTGTGGCTTGCCTTCTCATGATCTTGAGATTGTCTTTCACAGGAAGTTGTTTAATTTAATGAAGTCTAGCTTATCATTTATTTATTTCATGGAGCATGCCTATGGTGTTGAAACTAAGTCATCACCATACCCAAGGTCATCTCGGTTTTCTCCCGTGTTATGTTCTAGGAATTGTATAGTTTTGTTTCGCATGTAAATACATGATCCATTTTGAGGTTTATGTTTTTTTCTTTTTGTGTGTGTGTTTTTTTTGTTTTTACCCAAGGTCATCTCGGTTTTCTCCCGTGTTATGTTCCAGGAATTGTATAGTTTTGTTTCGCATGTAAATACATGGTCCATTTGAGGTTTGTGTCTTTTTCTTTTTTTGTGTTTTTTTTGTTTTTTTGTTTTTTTGCAGAGTATAAGGTCTGTCAATATTCAGTTGTTCCTGCACTATTTGTTGAAAAGACTATCTGTTCTCCATCAAATCCTCTTTTGTCTTTTGTCAGGGATCAGCTGGCCAGATCATGTGGGTCTGTTTCTGGCTATTTCATTCCATTTATCTAATTGCCTGTTCTTTTACTGACATGACCTGCCTTGATCACGGTAGCTCAATAGCCTGGCACCACCTCAGGCAGCATCCATTCCCGCCCTGACTCGGTTCTTCTCCTTTGATGGCGTGTTGTATTCTGGGTTTTCTCTCTCTCTCCCTATAAACTTTAGAATCAGTGGATCCACATCCACAAAACAAGGTGCTGGGATTTCCACTGGAGTTGTTTAGATCAAGTTGACATCCTGACAATATTGCGTCTTCTCCATGAACATGGGATATCTCCCCACTTATTCAGGTCTTTGGTTCCTTCATCAGAGTTGTGAGTTTCCTCACATAGATCCTGTAAATATTTTACCAGGTTTATATTTAAGTTTTTCATTTATGGGGTGCTAATGCAAATGGTATTGTTTTTTATTTCAAATTCCACTTGTTCATTGCTGATAATATAAGAAAGCAACTGACTTTTGTATATTAGCTTTGTATCCTGCACTCTTAATAGTTACAGGAGTGATTTTGTCAATTCTTTCAGATTTTCTATGTAGACAATCAGGTCATCTGTGAACAAAGTGTTAGATGTTCTTCTCAGTCTGTGATGTCTCTGTTACAAATACGTTGATGGTTCTTTCAGATTGACTGTAAGTGCTCTCAGTGTTTGTCTAAAATTATCTTCATTTTCCTCATATTTTTACTGGGTATGTTGGGTACAGAATTCTAAGTCAACAGGTGTTTCGCAGTATTTGATATTACATCACCATTTTTCTTCTATTATTCCTGGTAGGGGTCATTCAAATTATTTTCCCATTCCAGTTAATCCCGTCTCTCTATTTGACTTTTAGATCTTCTCTTTCCTTGGTGTTTTATTTCCTTTATGAAGTGAGCTTCCTGTGCTTGAACTTGACCACGACCAACTGCAGGCTTCTCATTGGCCTTGCCTGGGAGTGTGCACTCTGGAGTCAGAGAAGCTCTCCCCAGCCAGTCCCTGAGAAATCTGTCTCTCCTCTCGGTTCTCTGTTCTCACACAAGGGTTTCAGATACAAGGGTTTCCGATCAGTTATATGATCACCATCTCATTCTAAACTCCTGTTCTCTTAAAACTATGTTTTACACTTCAACCCGTATCACATTATGGGTCATTGCCTCACCTCTATATTCCAGTTCACTAATTCTCTCCTTGGCATCACCTAATTTGTTGTTTTACTCCATCCACTGGGGATTCTTAAAAATTCCAATAGCTAAAATTATGTTCTATTCAATAGCTACCTTTTCCTATGGTGTCTGTGTTAGTTATTTTTTTATTATGCTTTAATTAACATAAAACACATTTGTTGCATATTCTGTTTCAAAATGCCATTTTACTTCCTCAAGTTGGGGGGGGGGACTTATCTTCTGGTTTATGGTATATGGTCACCTCCACGCAGGAGGAATATTCAGCACTGGTTACGTGTACCCTCGCAGCAGGGTTTGGCTCTGGGGCATCGATGCCACGCACCCGAGATCCCTCTGGGAGTTTTCGCGAGTGCCGCTCTGCCTGAAGCATCAGACGCTCCCCAGGTGGGTCCAATGCTTACACTCACTTCTCATTCTGGATCGCACAGGTACTGCAGGTTTAGATTTGTTTCACTTCCCCCCATTTCTTACATGTTTTGCCCATTTCTCAAATGTCTTTTCCTCGGTGCCCAGTGCTCGTGAAGGACACCTCCCTCCCCTCCATGCCACCTGGAGGCCACAGGACACCAGCCCTGGGCTCACCCATTCCTCCACAGAGAGTCGGCGGTGCGGTTCCTATTTTTCACTTGTCCCTGGAAACTCATTTTCCCTTTTTTATTTTTTTTGTGTGTGTTCTTTTTGGCAATTTCACCGATGATTTTTTTAAATTGATTTCAAAGAGGAAGGGAGAGGAAGAGAAAGATAGAAACATCAATGTGAGAGAAAATCATTGATCGGCTGCCTCCTGCATGCCCCCTACTGGGGATCGAGCCTGCAATGAGGGCATGTGCCCTGACTGGGAACTGAACTGTGACCTCCTGAATCATGGGTCGATGCTCAACCACTGAGCCACGCCGGCCGGGCCTCCCCTGTGATTTTAAATGTAACTAATTTAGCAGGAGGGCCCCCTACTGGGGATCGAGCCTGCAACCAGGGCATGTAGCCTGACCGGGAATCAAATCATGACCTGCTGGCACATGGGTCGATGCTGAACCACTGAGCCACGCCAGCCAGGCCTCCCCTGTGATTTTAAATGTAACGAATTTAGCTTCTCTGACTCCATTTCATATGATTTTAGGTCTGCATCTTGCTGGCTCCAGAACTGACACTGTGAAAGCCCTTCTAGCCCAGAGCTGCCTGTGTGTCCACTTATTGTAGGGGGAGAGAAACGAACGGCTCTCCTGTGGGGCCATCAGTATTGTTTGGTGCTGTTAGTCACGCACAGTCGAAAGCAATCCTGTCGTACTCTGACTATGTAGATTGGAGGCTAAGAGATTAAAGGAAACCCATTACTGTTGTCAAAGGAGCACACAGACCCTGCCCTCGCGAAAGCGGAGCACTCGGCACCGGCTTCAGCCCGAAGGGGAAGGGCTTCCGCACCGCGGGCGGACTGACGCTGAGATAATGGCTTAGAGCCTGCAAATGACAACGACTTCTGAAGTTCTCCTCCTGCTTTTACCAATGTCTCTACGTGTGGGAGCGGCCACAGCGTGGACAGGCTCAAGCCTCGGACTAATGAGAGAGCACGGTCCCCTCGTGGCAAAGCCACGTGCAAGTCCCAGCTTGGAGGGCAGAACCCTCCCAGCACAATTACAGCCAAAGGCTATGGCTGTGAGCTTGACCTTATGGTCCGAACCCGTGCGCCCAACGTGCAAGTCCCAGCTTGGAGGGCAGAGCCCTCCCAGCACAATTACAGCCAAAGGCTATGGCTGTGAGCTTGACCTTATGGTCCGAACCCGTGGGCCCAGGAGGCTGAGTGATGTGGGCTTGATGGAGTTCAGGTGCATGTAACTGAGTAGATTCGAACCCGCGAGAACATGGTGAACATCTTGACCACGCCCTTGCTTTGCCTCGTGGGATCTGACCATAAAATAAAGACCCGGCTTGCAGGCTGTGCCACCGTCTCCTCATCCAGGCACAGTGACCCACCTGGTCCGGCCGTGTTCTCTTGTCTGTTTTCTTTAATCCTTCACCGCCCTCCTCAGGTTTACCCTTGGCCGTGCTGGATGTGGTTCATCTACATCAGTGATTCCCAAAGTGGGCGCTACCGCCCCCTGGTGGGCGCTGCAGCGATCCAGGGGGGCGGTGATGGCCACAGGTGCATTTGTTTTAACTTTTTTTGTATTACCTTTCTATTCTGAGTTCAATAAATAGTTTCATAATTTCAAACTTCAATGTTTCTAATTTACACCTTTCTTTACTATATTTTACGAAAAAGGTAGAAACATTAATACATATATCTTTCTGTTTAATTGCTATTAAAATTTTAAAAAAATTAATTTCCAGGGGGCGCTGAGTAATATTTTTTCTGGAAAGGGGGCGGTAGGCCAAATAAGTTTGGGAACCACTGATCTACATCATCAGAAACACCATCAACCAAAAGTATTTTGATTGAATAAGAAATAGAAGAAAAGAAAGACAAAAGTTGAGAGAGATATACATGTACCTTAATCATATATTTTGACCCCAGCACAAAGCACCATGTGTCTCTAGACCCCTAGCTCTTGGGGGAAAAAGATTACTATCTTCATGGCAGGACACCTCCCCCATCCCATGTTCATTCCCAACGGGAAAGCCTTCTCTGGGGCACTTACTGAATGCACCACCTCAAGTTCACATCAAACACGCCCCTCCTGGAGACGTCACCTCCTGTGACGTAGACCCCATCGTGAATGACATGGAGGCATGGAGACCCCTTCTCTGTGGAGACTCCACCACCCAACGCGCTTTGCTGGCCCTAAACAGTCACGTAGTTACCTGGTCTGCCCGCTGTCCGCGCAGCGCCCTCCCTGTCGTCGTGCAGAATGACGGCCAGGCCCGCGGAGTCGGTGGGGAGCACGGAGCTGCTGAAGTCCACGCGGGTCAAGCTCTCGGGCTCCCTCGAGAAGGCCCCCGCAGTGCCCCGGGGACGGTCCCCGCCGGTGGCCATCGCGGGGCCTTCTCTCCCGGGTCTCAGCACCACGTGGACGATGCTCTGCTGGCCCAGGTCGCAGCTCTGCGGGAACAGAGAGAAACACAGACGCTAGTCTAGCGTTCACATGCTGGTGGGTGAAGTCGCCTGAGTTTCAGGACGGGTGCGAGACTAAACTCTGCTTCTGTGGGTGTCGGCTTGCAGTCATGGGGCATAAGGAGGGGACGTGGGACAGGCGTGTGAGGGGTAAGGTGGCACCCGTCCCCCGCCAGGGGCACCGCGCTCACATGTGTGCCTGTCCCACCAGACAGGGAAATGGGGGGGGGGGTGTGAATGAAACGCAACCACAAAAAACCAAAGTACTGTCCAAAGGGACATAAACTGTAGCAGACAAAGAGGTGTCCTGCATGCACGGCCTACTCAGGACAGTGAGAGGCGATGCTGCTTAAAACTGGTGACTGCAGAAGCAGCATGCCCTTAGAAGCATCACTTCATTCACTCATTCATGTTGTTATTGATTTTTAGATAGAGAGGAAGGGAGAGACAGAAACATCAATGAATCATTGATTGGCTGCCTCCTGCACGCCCCCTACTGGGAATCCAGCCCACAACCCGGGCAGGTACCCTAACCAGGAATCCAAACCGAGACCCCTTGGTTCATGGGATGATGCTCAACCCATTGAGCCACACCAGCCAGGCGGATGGCCCACTTTAAGACTGGCTTTCCTCTCCGCTTTCGGAAGCAGGGAGACCTGGTTATTATCAAGTCCAGGGCATTTTCTCTCTGGAATTTAAGATCAATGTGTTTATGGAGGACACCACATACACCCCAAACACATAGCTACCCCAAGGGGGACGCCAGGAGTCCCACCTGCTCCATCTGCTTTCACAGTAAAAGATGAGATTATTCACAAAGATGCTCTCTCTGTGGATATGGATGTGTATGAACAGGAGACGGTAAAATTTGGTGGAATTAAAATTAGAAGTCAGATTTGCTAGGGCAGAAACTAGACTACTTTCCATGAAACCATGAAACTGCAATTTCAGAATATCTACCAGACAGACACTGAGAGGCAGCTGTTCCCCCGCACCCCCCCCCCACTTCCCACAGAGCGAGGGCCTCGCTCTCCACAAACCCCAACCCCAATGTCTTCAAACTGCCTGTTGACATTCTCTCTCACTTTAGGAATGCTCAGAGAACGCCCAGGCAGAACACAATGATAGTTTTAAAGTAATAACTCCTGTCCCCACGCACCCCCAGCCTGCACCCCCACTCTGCACTGAGACTTAGGGGGTGCCGTCCCTCCGAGGCTTTGCTTACTGTCTGTCTTGTCCATCCTGGGAGGTCCTGGGGTGCTCTGGTCCTAAACACCAGGCCCACCGTTGGGTTTCTCGGACCAGAGACTGGAGAACAAGGCTGACAACCCCTGCCTGCTCCCCACCCCCACTCCGCCCCGTCCCATCAAGACTGTGTTAAGGGGCCCTACCTGGTTTGGCTCAGTGGATAGAGTGGATAGAGTGGGTCCCGGTTTCCATTCTGGTCAAAGGCACTTGCCCAGGTTGTGGGCTTGGTCCCCAGTAGGGGGCGTGCAGGAGGCAGCTGATCAATGACTCTCTCACATTGATGTTTCTATCTCTCCTTCTCCCTTCCTCTCTGAAATCAGTTAAAAAGAAAAAAAAAGGTGTGTTAAGGTTACTTAGGAACAGGGAAGTCTTGGATGTGGAAAGACAAGGTGGATGCCGGCTGAGGAGTTACGGAGCCGGAACGCAGGGAGGAAGGCTGGCGGTGAAGGTATGCCCACGGGGACAGGGAACCCCTCCCTGCTGCCTGCGGGGCAGGGTCTGGATTCACAGTAAGCAGCCAGCTCTGCCCCGAGGAGCTCAGGTGGCACCTGCCCCTTCCTTTCATCCTTCTCAAGGCCTCAGTCCCAGACCCGGTGGACACGGTCACCTCCAGCTGTCTGTCCCCTGGGTGGTGGGTACAGTCCTAAAGCGACCCACCAATGACCTGCTTATTTAACCCTTCCCGCGGAGGGTGGGAGAGGCTGCCTAGATTATGTTAATCAACTTGATGAAAGAATTGATCATCTCATCAGGCAAATCTTGGGGTAATGGTGGACCCTTAAAAGTTTCAAGAGTTCTTCCTGGTGAAAATATTGGAATCATGAGAAGGACTGTGCAGGAAAGTGTGGACGGAAGGGGCCACATGCTGACCTGACAAGCTCAGGGAGGCCTGCATGGCGGTCTTGCAAACTCAGAGACCTAAAGTCACCACAAAGGATGGCCTGAAATTAAAGTTTAACTAAAAGCAGTTATGGTGGGCAGTTACGTCCTAGGCTGGTATCTTCACTGACAAGGTCAACCTTTACCGTATTAACTGAGCCTGTCTTTCTGCATCTATGATAACATACCCTTGAAATGTCTGGGAACTTTTTGTAACTTCCCTTTTTCTGGAGCCCTTGGGGCAGAACCTAATGTTAATTGTTCCTGTGCCCACCTAAGTATGTGTCTATCATTTTACTTTATATCCAACCCCAGGGGTTCCGTCCCCCACCCCCCTTTGCTTTCTCCCGCCTCTCTAGCCTGTCACCAATGGATTTCATGTCACCCACCTACCTCCCTTTCCTTTGATTGCAATGTATATAGATGTACCCCGCCGCTCTCCGGAGCATTATCTCAATTCCTTGAGGTTCTGCTTCCCGGCATATGTAGACAATTTCGCTCAAATAAACTCACAAAAATTCTTTACAGGTTTCAATGGTTAGCAAAAGAGATCTCCGGGCAGGGGGCCTGGGGGGCGGGGAGCAGCTGAGAGCCCCAGGGGCCTAGCAACAACCATCCATTGCAGGGTGGGACCTCGCCCCCAGGGTGACCTTCCTTCCAGCACACAGCTGGGCAGGAGGTTTGAACCCCTGACCTTTCCTCCCTAGAGGTAACATCTCGGCCTCAGTTGTATTCCAGCTCCAGGCCCAGAGAAGCAACAGAACCAGCCGAGCAACCCCACCGCTGATGCTGACGTCAGGACCAGCTGCAGGGAATAATGACCCCCTGCCCTGCCCTGGTGCCGCCAATCAATCAGGGGGGCCCCAACCCTGAGAGGACCACCTGGAAAAGCTGCTGCATATTCTACTGGGATCTTCCCCGGGACCTCCCCTAACCTCTTCCCCTTAGACCAGCGGTTCTCAACCTTGGCTGCACATTAGAATCACCTGGGAATCTTTAAAATCCTGATTTCTGGGCCTCGGGAGCAGGCCTGAGCCTCCCCCCCGCCCCCCAGGCACATGACCATTAGCTCCTGGCCTCCCAAGCTCCAGGCCTTCCTCTCCCTCCACCCTCCTTCCCTCCGCCCAGTCCCTCTAGGAACCGCTTCTTCTGCCTGAGATTTCCCAGTAACGTCCTCACAGTGTGGGCCTTGGCTCTGACTTCCTTCCCAGACGGAACCCAAGTACGGAGGGTGCTGGGCCCAGGTTTGCCCGGACCCCGTGGGTCAGACACCCGGTGCCATGCCACCGCCCACAAAAAACCAGCGCAAGGACCACCCTCCCTACGCCAGGTGGTCGGCCAACCCAGGATGTCCCCAGGGTGCCGCCCTCCCAGGCCCCGAGGCTGGAGGAAGAGGCCGCGGTCGGCTGCATCGGGCACTAAGGGGACTTACGGGGAGGAGCGTCTCGGGCTGTGGACGTGCACGTGCTCCCAGCAGAGGCAGGAGTAGAGGGTCTGTTCTGCAGACAGGGAGACGCCATGAGCCCACCTGGGCTGGGCCCGGCGGGACAGCCCCTGGGGCCCAGGGAGGGGCCGCAGGCCCTGAGGGGAGCAGGCAGGTGTGTCTGCTCAGCCCCATCCAGCTGGCTCAGCGCAGCAGCTGCCCCCTCGGGGCGTCTCCCTCCTCCTCCCCTGCCACGTGGACCAGCTCCCTCTCCTGGCCTCCTGCCTGGGGCACTGGTTGGTGGGTCCTCCGCAGGGCCCCTCAGCCCCCCACCTGACTCCCCACTTCTGTCACAGCGCTGCCCTCCCCGCCTTACCCAGGGCCACGCCCCCTCGGATGGCCACCTGTGTTTGACTGGGACTCCTCCCTGCTGCCACGTGCAGCCCAGTGCCCAGTGCCCAGTGATGGGAGTCCCCCTCCAGTGTTCAGTTCTTCCCGCCCCACTGTCCCTCCCCCGGCCCGTGTGCAAGAATCTCCCACCTCTGCCATCTCACCTGACGGCCCACATGTACAAGCACCGCCCACATGTACAAGCTCCGCCCACGTGTACAGGAACCGCCCACGTAAACAGGAACCGCCCACGTAAACAGGAACCGCCCACATGCACAAGCTCCGCCCACGTGTACAGGAACCACCCATGTGCACAAGCACCGCCCCCACACACAAGCACCGCCCACGTAAACAGGAACCGCCCACGTGTACAGGAACCGCCCACGTGCACAAGCTCCGCCCACACGTACAAGAACACATGGCGCTGCAGAACCTCGCAAATGCCTCGCATCACCTGCTGCACGGCCGCCCTTCCTGACCAGCGGCCTCCGTCTCTTTCCTCGCCCTCACGTGCACGCGGACCACAGGGTTCTCCGCAAGCGTGTGCTTTCTCTCCCGCCTGCCCTTGGCTAGGTCAGCACATGTGACTGAACCGGGGCCTTAAAGTGAACTTGCGCCACTGCCCGCCTTCCAAAGAGCACTGGGCGCGGCTGGTGTGGTTCAGTGGTTGGGCAACGGCCCATAAGCCAGGAGGTCCTGGTCAGGGCACATGCCCGGCTTGGCCTCCCCTGGGGGGCATGCAGGATGATGTTCCTCTCTCATCATTGATGTCTCTATCTCTCTCTCCCTCTCCCTCTAAAAACCCCTGCCTCTCTCTTTAAAAATCAATAAAAAAACATTTAAAAAAGAGCAGCCCAGCTGGTCTCCGCCTCCTCAGCCTGGGCCTGGCCCTGCGCACAGGACAGCCCTGAGCCCAGACACCGGTGGACGCGTGCAGCTGTGCCCACAGCTGGCGGCAGGGGGGCCACACCCCCTGGGGAGACGTGGGTGGACGGACGCAGGCTCCGAGGTGCTATGGTTGTTGGTTCAGCAGTGATAGCGGACAGCA